TGTTGATTCTTTATAGAAATAATTATAAATGTTTTCTTCAAATTAATAAACCCTGTATAATTGAAATTAGGTCATTTTACTGACAATTTCCTATAGTCTTACCCATAAATATACACAATGGTCTTCCGATATACCAAATCACTTTTGTATATCATCACGTGACCGTGACAAAATTTATAACTTTTAGGAGATTCTTTTTGCTAATCAAAAAAACGAGTTTAATAAATGAGAAATTAATAGACGAAAATGCAAAATAAATTATTATTATTCTTAATATATTAAGAAAACACAGTTCAATTTTATTATAAAGGATCTGATTAACTCGCTATAATATTGCAATATATTGCACCACTATTGTAGTATTGCGAGAATCACTACGTAGAGATGATCGGAATGACCAGAAAATCAGATTTTTATCAATTATTCGGACAAAATATTAATTTTATCTTTTGCCCGATTATCTGTCGGAATTAGTCACAGATGGATAAACAGATTAACAGAAAAGGTTCTTTTAATGGGAAGAGATGAAAACCACTATAATGAAGATTAATAATTTATCGTTATCTATTGGGGGTTTAATGATCAAGTCAGGTCTTTAACCAGTTTTTAGTTAGGCACTAAATTTAAACAAGAATAGCCTAACCAATATTAATAATTTAGGCATTTTTAATACCGATACCGATACTGTATCTCAATCGAATATTCATTGAAAAATACCTATATGGATATCGTATTCTTATTGATATATTATTCGGCCAAGCCGGATGATGAACGTAATTTCAGAAATATATTTATATATATTAAATTTGCGATCATTGAGATCATTGTGAGCGATCCCAACGGCTTTAATACTATATCTCCAATACTATTTTTCTTAGACAATGATAAACGGTTTAAGAAGTTCTTTGTTGAAAGTTATTTTGTGTAAAATTTTTTTTATTATATAATACATACGTAATATAATAAATTAGGCAATCTTTATTTTAAGTGGTGTACGAAGAATCATTTAACAAACCCGAAATATCATACAAGGCTTTTATATAAGCAAGATATCAAGCGAGATTGATAATAGATAAAATTGATTCTTTACATAACTAGTGAAACATTCTATGAATTTGTTCTCTGTAAAAAGGAGCGAACTATGAATTTAATACGCAACAACACAAATATGTATGTATATAATTTATAAAATGAATTTATAAGTGAATTAAGGTTTTGAAAACTATGATAAATTAAGATTAGTGCGTTATAATTATAGGGTGATGTGTTTTTATGAATGGAACTTTTTCTCCATAAATTTCCCAGAAGATTTTGTAATACAACAGATCCTTAATACTGCTGTACTAACTAGTATATTCATAATCAGGGGGAGAACACAGTAGATGCGCTAAACTTAAAATTTTTGTGACCAGATCAACTGACTTGGGGAAAATATTAATAATTCTCTAAATGAGACTAACCCCTATAAAGTTTTGAAAAGAAAAAAAAAAAAAATTTTTTTAAAGTGCACGGACATTTTTTTATACGAAATTAATTATTAGTGGAGTGGAGAAATAACAAATGTTATCTTTTTAGAAAGTTTTTTTTTTCTTAAAGATTGTTAATAAGTAGTATATGGTACCATGCTAACAAATATTTGTTTTACTTATTAGTCAAATTTTCCGAAACTATTAAGTCATCGTTGACTATTTTGTGAGATATAACCGTTACCCGGGTCATAATTTAAAAAAATTCCAAAATAGTCCTGAAAGGAAATATCGAATCTTTAGCATATATAGAATTGTAGGACGCCCCATTATTGATTTACGTATGACGACGTTATCTGAATATCTTTTATAATAATAAATTTAGATGTAGATCACTTCAAAGAATATCGATTTGATAAGAAAAAAAAAATGATGGATTCTCGTGATGACAAATGACAGTTTAGGCACCAATCTTTACGCAGAATTCGCGTTTATGTAAAAGTTACCACAAAAGGTATCTAGTTTAAATCTTTTTTTTTTTTTTTTGAAACTATATAAAGCCATCTTACCCAAGTAAAAAAAAGAAAAGATTGTGGCCATTTCAACCGACAAATTTTTCGGCCATCTCTTTTTCATACTAAATTGATAATTAAATTTAATTTTGAATAAATGTGAAATTTCGGGTCCAGAATGTGAGCGAGGTGAAGTGAATTTGAGACGTTCTTTATATCACGATCGAGCGAATTCACTTCTCATCGGGATTCAGTCATGTTTATATCATTTCTTTGAATAAATTTCCGGTGCGTATACAAATAATTCAAAAAATGATTAATTAGTTTTTAATGTGCAAGATTAAGAAATAAAATATAGAAATTAAAAGTAAAAACATTAGTAAATAAATAAAAGTAAAAAAACAAACAAAAAAATTTTTTTTGATTAGGTTTAGAAATGAATAAAAGATTAAGGTTGAAAAGTACGAAATGGTCACACACCTACGAATTTACGTACCCGTTAACGTCCAACTTTCTTTCGGATATTTCGAAAGATAAACACATTCACTTTATATATTTCGATTAAATCTTAATTCGATGAGGAGAAATTGACACTCGCGTACACATATATATATATCGCATCCTTTTTTTTTTTTTTTTTCTTCTTTTCATTCGATTCGAGGTCATAAGGTCATCGCTGCACCGATAAACAATAAATTTAAGCAAATCGACAGATAATCCGATAAAAAATCCGAAAAGTATGATATAACTGGCTAGAAACCGGATAAATCAAGGGCCTATCCGGTAACAGTTAACTAATTAGATGAGGTACCATATTTAAAAAAAAAAAATCACCGATTTAAGATAAACATTTTAAGCTTTTTAAAAAAAAAATTCTTTAAGAACGGGAATATTTCTATCACCTCCTATTAATATATGCACAAATTAAAGTGAAGAATACTTCTTGTATGTATATTAAAAAAAATTTAATTTTTCGTGATCGTAATACTTGGAAGTAAATTCTGTTTACATGTTGACCACATTCTTAGTATCAGCATTATACCTAATAATTTTTATTTTATTAAAAAAACCTCCTGAAATAAATTGAATTTATTATGAATTGATGTAAAAGTCAAAGTACGCACGCACATACGTACTTACATATATGATAGGATTAAATTATTATTATTATTAATAAAATAGTGTTCTTTTTTTTCGCAGAGTTTCATTTCATTTCATACGCAGTTTTCACGTGATTTTTATTTAAAAGTGGTTGATTGATTTTTTCTATAGCGATAGTAATGATAGTAATAGTTTGAAATATTTCACAAAAAATAAATGAAGTTTTTTTCCCTTTAGCTTTGTTTATATTTCTTAAGATCTTTTTTTTAAATTTACTAATCTTTTTTACGTAATACTAATCTTTTAGTATAATAATCAAAGATCAATGAATAAAAATAGAAAAACCAAATGATCATCATGAACTGATGTAATCCTCCGACTAGAATAAGAATTCTGGACAATTCCGACAATAGAAGAAAATTAGATATTATTATTTAATGGTGAAAATTTGAAATTGGCAAAGCTTTCTTTTTTAAATTATACACAATAATACGAATACTTACCTTCATAGGACTCATAATTGCATGTACTTTTTATATAATCGTGATTATTGAGCTGGACATTTGCTTTTGTTTCATTCAATTTAACTAATCTAAATTAGGATCATAATGAATTTTTGACGCTTAACGATCGTAGTCAAATGGCTAATTGATCAAAAAAAGATACATACGTACGTACGTACCGAACAAGTAAGTTAGTGGCGTAGCATTAGCGATGATATAAGTGTTGCACATGATCTTTTACGTACGTACATACGTACGTACGTACGTACGTACGTATCTAAAGTGCAAAGTACCAAGAACATTTCATTTTACAACTTTCACAGCATATACGTTTTGCATTAAAAAATTTTAAAATTTTTAAATAAATCTTTTTTAATCTAGAACAAACGTGGAGTTTTGAAGTCGTTTCAATATATCAGTTATTAATGTACATTTAACATATACTTAAAAAAAAAGAACACGAAATAAAATAGTTTAAAAGATACGCATAAGTTAATTTGTAATACAACATAAAAATCCAATAATTTAATAATTTTTTAATAATAATTTTAATAGTAATTTATTTATAATAAACATATTTCTTTTGCATAATTTTTTATAATTTTTTATTTTTTATTTTTTTCTATAAATCTTTAGATTAAAATACGTGAAAAAAAAAAATAAGTGTATATTTTTAGAAAATTTATCAAATATCCAGTCAGGTGAAAGGACGGGAGGTGCTGAGAACAAAAAATGTCATCGCCGATATCTATATATCATTCTGGAAATTTTAGAAATTGTACTTAATAGATAACACAAACACCCTGTAATTTATACTTGTAATGCAAGTACATAAATAAGAAGATCGGGGTATACACGATATCTGTGAACATATCTGATATATTCTTTATATATACACATATACACATTTATATTTATATTTATATTTATACGTAATTAGAACAACTCGAAAGAAAGGAACGCCATTCTGAATTTGACGAATATTCCTTTTGTTTTCATCTCAGGAAGGCTTAGCGCAAAATTTAATCACATGTCCTAGCAGTCTCATGGTTTTTTTATATGGACCTGTTATTATTATTTATGTACTTTTATCGATTATTGACCAGCATCACAATTTTCAAGTTCATTTCATCACCTTATGACTTACATAAATATATGACTATTTCCTATTTTTTTCTCTATTTGAACAAAGTCATTTCTTTACAAATTATAAATATATATATATTGATTTTTCTTTTTTTTTTTTTTTTCTTCTTTTTGATTATATTTGTTGGAACATTAATTTATAAACGCAACGCTTTCTGTTCCGTTAGACGAAACGATTCTTTTTTTTTTTTTCTCAAAATTATTTACATACATTGACACAAGCAGATACAAACAGATTTACATAAACTTTTGCACAGCACAAAGTAAATAAAATGCCAAAAGTCAATAGTAACAATTCTTCTCGTGTTAAACGTCGTCAATCAATTTGTACAAGTACTCCTTCATTTCGACCTTCACCTGATGATAAAACAACCGCTGAAATCTTGGCAGGTCTTACTGCCGAACATATTCCTTTACCTGATACTCATTTCATCAAGAGAGTTTTGGAAAATTCACGCAGAGCTAAATCAAAGAAAAATGATCCTCCAAGACCTCCAAATGCATTCTTTCTCTTTCGTAACGCACTTCATATTCATTTATCAACTCATAACTTAAAAGTACCTCAAGTTTCAATGGCTGCTGGAAAATTGTGGGATAATGCCACAGAGAAAACAAAGAGTCAATATACAAGATTGCAAGAAATTGCCAAAGTTTTACATCTGGAAATGCATCCTGGTTACGTTTACAGACCAAAAAAAAAAAAAAAAGAATCGTTTCAATATATCAGTTATTAATGTACATTTAAC